TTTTAATCACTTTACTTTATTCCTATTAGGTGTCAACCAAGTGTATTTAATATTCTAAACCCCACTTAAAGAAAGGTCATAACTGAAATTAACGTTTTTTCGGACTTTTCCGAGTAAAATTCGTGCTTTACCGAGGGAAAGTCCATACTCTTTAAGCTCATTTTTGATTTCCTGTTAAATCTCTCAACATTGATTTTGTAACACATTAATTACCATTTAAGTTAAATATTAACATCCTCAATAAATATAGTGTTTCCCCATTATTGCTAGGTTTTCCTTTCAATTTAAGATACCGGAATTCATCGAAAAAGCTAAAAATAGCAAGAACTACAAGTTGGAGGAATAATTACCAAAAATATATATTTAACTGCATTAATTTCTTCGTATTCAAGATAGAACTATATCTTGCCTAAAATAAAATTTTATAAAATCAACTCAAGTATTGGGAGTAGCGAAGAGTGATACGTTATTACCTTTAAATTGCAACTAAGTATTGGTACTGTCAAGACCAATAGCTCTTCAAGATTTTCCAAAAGTGAAAAATCGTCATCTTCTAATCAAGTACCTCACTACTATCCACATAAAACATTTGAAATACTTAGTCAATATACGTGGATTCCATAAAGGCAACCAACATGTCATAATCATTAAAAGCTTGACGTGTAAATCACCTCATTCCTCAAAATAATTAAGTTTAATAGGCATAATGGGATTGTGTACTTTACTCAAAATATTGCACAATAATCCGTCATGCAAAACTTCAAGTTGCAATGTTGAATAATAAATCTTGTGCAATACTTCAATGTTGGCAAGTTTAATAATAATCATGTAACATACTTTTGGATGCATCCACAAAATATCGTAAAATAGTTCACATGAATGAAAAGTAAAATTGATCAAATAATTTTCACCTTAATATATATTCCAGAATAATGCAAGTGGTTTCTTTGAACTCTATTTGGTGATTTGGCTCAAATATTAATTTACTTTGAGAAACAAACTAAACATGAAAAATTTATTACAGTTGAAGAATACTTTTGGTTCTTTCAATAATATTCCATAATTGAAGGGATTAAATTTTCCTTTTCGCATCAATATTGAATTGAAGATGGTCCAACCGATCATGCCAATACTTAGATTTGTAAAAGCTTCCAATTTACAATCATACTTTTATTTTTCAATCATTATCTTATATGATATCCAGTTTAATGAATATCTTTTAAATAATGCATTATGCCATAAATTCCATTTCTGTAGGTAATAATACTTGCTCTTCTAGAGCCTCTAAATATTATTTTACTAGCTAAAGCCCAAATTTGCTTTTTAATATTTTTTGTGTCTAATAAAGTACATAATCAAATGTATCAATATATGCCACATTATTTGTACGACTTCTGGTAGTAAAATTTATTCTTAATTATGTGGCCCACCTAATACTAAAATCATTACTTCAAGTGTAAATCTTATTGATATTATAAAATAACAGTATATTCTTTTGGTCATTATTTCACACCATAGTTATATTTGCATTCACTTTAGGGAATGAAAAAAATAATCCTAGTTAGGTAGACATCGTTATACCATATATATGCTATTTCTTCACTTCAGGGAATGGAGCAAAATCCAGTTGATGGCCTCAATGATCTTTATTAAGAATCTCTTGATTTTGGTTCAAATGATAAAAAGATATAAAATAAAATTAGAGCTTCTCTTAAAATACTTGTTTCTCTCGATATTTGCTACTTTAGAAGATAATCGAGATATAGATACATTAACAATCTAGATCAAAAGCCTAATATATACGATCCCAAACATAATAACGATAAATAATCTTAAATTATATTTAAAAACAAATAAATCACTTCTAAAAAAATTGGTAGCACATGAATAATAAATTATGTCCAATATTATAATGACTCCATTCCGTTCCATTTTATTTGCTTTGTTATTTCTTTTTTGAATGTCCAAAATATTTACAAGGGTTTCTAAATTTGTACATTTAACAATTATTTTTTCTAATAATAGCAATTTATATGATTGTTTATTATATGAACGACTTTTATTAATTCTTAATGAGTTATTAGGGTAAGAGGACAAAATTAATTTTGTTGACTAAATCTTAATATGCGTATTTTATTCCAAAAAACCATGCAAAATAAATGAGATGGGGTAATAATTATAAGAATAAAAATAATAATCTGAATTTTACAATAATTATAGTCATTACAGTTTTACAGCTTTGCATCTGTTATTGATATTGCATTCTATTCAATGAAATGAACCTTTTGGTAATGGTACATTTCTTCAAATCATTCCAAAAAAACAAATCTTTATGCTATTTTGATTAGATCCTTAATCTTTTTTTTTTAATTTATATTTAAGATCCATTGTATCTAAATATAATTAAATTCTTGATCGAAATATAAAAGGCCTTAAAATTCAAAAATCCTATATATTTAATATCATTGAAAGTGATTATAATAAAACAAATAATAGACGATAAGATCATAACAAAGAATTTAAAAATAATCAACTAAATTAAAAAATTCAAAAAGTAATAAACTTGAAAAAATTATCAACTCTCTCTTTCAATCCGACCCTAAAACCTAAAAATTTTATTTCTTCTTCCAGCGAGCGGCACTGGTGGTCACCCCTTTTTCTTTTTTTGTTTATTTTTTTGCAGATAATCCTCAGATTTAATTTCAAATCTGAGTTACTGTCATCTCAATATTAAGATTTATTGCTGCCATATTTTTGGGACTTTGTTCTCAGAATTTAGTTGCTGTGGCCTCACACTGCCTAGGTTCTAGGAGAAATGAAAACCCCAAAGAATCTCCTCTTCTTGCTACTAGAGCTACAGCCCCTGGGAAAGTCCTGACACCTTTCCTCCTTCTCTGTAGCCCTTTTCTCGATGCAACCTTCTTCCTGATTCAAAGCTTGTGATTACCAAAATGCAGAAAAATTGTCAATGTTCAAAAGCCGATCACCATGAACTCTAATACTAGGCTTCCAATCCCTGGTTCAATATCTCTTGCACTGTCCCTGCCCTGTAAACTAACAATCTTCAATGCATAATAGCTCAACCGAGTAAACTCCCTCTCATACTCAGCTACAAAGTCCTATGATCCTGTCTGAGCTGCAGAAAACTCCTCTATCCTGCATCACATAGGTAGATGGAACATACTTTTTTCCTAAACTCTCAGTAGTCTGCCCAAGTCAGAATTGGTGGCTGCACTCTCGCTCCTAGGAATGTCCTGCCACCACTCCATATGCATCTTCCTGAAGTAAAGGAACTGCATAATCCGTACTTTCTGATCAATCATCACACTGGAGCTTTAAGAAAACCCTAATCAAATCCTCCTCTAGCCCACTGCTCAGCCATACCATTGGGTCAGTGGTGCCTGAAACTCTGTGGCCCCACTACTTAACCAACTTAGCATACTGTCTAAACTGGCTGCTTACTTGCTTGCTATAAGTTACCTGCCATTCTGTCTCAATAAAGCAGTCATTCTGCCTAGCTATAAGGGTCCAGTAGCTGGGTAGACAGGGGACATCAGACCCTCGGGAGCATCACCAATCTCTTCGCTGGCCTCGCATCAGACTGCTCCTCAAGGAGGAATTGAAAAATTATCTCCCTGACCAACACCCTCCCATACTATCTTATAAAACAAAAACGCTCTCTGTATACTACAACAGAAAAAACATTCATCTTAATTAGGATATTGTATGGATGCAGAATCCCAACAATTAACAAGTCATTTCATATTTGAGCAGATTTACATTTCAATTTATATCAGCAAAAATGATGATCACGATATGCAATTAACACGCTCTGAGTACCATAACTAAACATGTCACACCCTTGCCTTATTGTAAGACATGATCATGTCGCCCGTAATATACTTAATAAAGCACTTAAATTCTATAAATGCTTACTAAGGTATACTAACAATGGGACTTAAAAACTTTGAATTCATTTCATTTATAACTTGTAGAATAAGTAAATTTAGTTAATTAAATGTAAAACTCCTTTGGGTTCTTTCCACCTGTTATAAAGAAAATGTCCTTTTTTCAGGCGTAATTTACTAGACATATGAAATCATAACTTCTATTAATGGCTGCAATATGATATCTTAAACATCAATTACAATTAATTCAAGAACATAAAATGGTTCTACTAAACCATAAGCCATAGAATGATTCAATTACATACTGGAAGGTCCTTTCAAAACATTAATACATAAATAGAAATTAATTACTTTAAATAGAAATATAACTTTCAATTCATACAATCATGAATTTTAATATGTATCTGCTCAAATATACCATAAATGTCTGTTAATGCTTTAATATATCATACAATATTCCAGAAAGAAGTCAAATATGAGTAATAGCTACATCAGTAGCATACTAATCTACATCGAATAAAAACGATTCCTCTCCTAGTTTCTTTTTCCCTTTCCTTTTCATGCAGTAAACACAAAAGCAATTATCGCTAAGCTTTTGCTTAGTTGGTGTACTATTATAAATACAAACACAAAATTTATTAAATCAAACTCTTTATAGGAAAAGAATGAATCGTAAATTCAATAAAACCCTCCATGTTAATAGAAATAAGAAAAAAAAAAACAATACCATTTAAATCAATAAATTCATAATGTAGTCTTCAGCTTTTTATAAGAGTCAATTCCGAGGGCCAATCAATTGGTCTAATGTGCACATCGTATGACCTACTATCTAAACAACCTCAACCTGTGATATGATTTTCAATAGAAAGTAGAGACAATCTACAGACCTTCAACATGGAGTGGAGAGTATTTCATAATCAATCATTATGAGTCATCTAGTGAATTGAATCATGTTCAAGTCGATCGTAAATATCATCTTCAACAAATGAAGTGATATTCAGGGTTAATAACCATGTCATGATATCACTGTTAAGAACTTTTTAAACCATTCCATTTTATGTAAGAATATCAAAATCACAAATGGACGACTTATGTAAGAATATCAAAATCACAATGGACGACATTTCATCTCATAAACACTGGTAAAAACATTCAATCACGGCCACCCCTCATACTACAGGTATCAATTGGCCAACATCCTCCTCTTTCAAGGTATAAGAATCATAAAACTACTTTTGTTTCAAAAATTGATACAATTATTGAAAATAAAAAAATAAATTAAAATACTTAACACTTGTCAAGCAAAGCTGCATATAGTAATTGGTTCCAAGTATCAGGAACGCCAGGAAGGCACCAGTGACTACAATCATTTTGCTTCATGTCTTGGCCATAATAAAGAGATGGATGCCCATCTTTTCTAAGTTGTGTTAGTAGTGTAATATCAAGTAAATAAGCAGGCTTTGCCATTTTTCTTATTACTTGTTTTACAACTTCTTCTCCTGGATTTACAGTGCCTGGATATTTTGATCCTTTAACTGGTTCAGTTTGTCCCTCGCATTGCCTTGCCTCTGGGTTTGGATCTTCCCATTCTCTGGGACTAAGTGGAAAAATTTTATTAATCAGTGAAAAGAAAAAAAAAATTATGTGAGATTTATACAAGCCAAGATATACGGACACTTAAACGTTCAAAGTACCTGTGTTGGACACCGACACCTTTTGAATACTCCCTCACACATGTCTAACTCTTTAAAAATCGTGTCTTATTATTTATTTTATTTAATTAATTTCGGACACTTTTGAAGATACTTTAGAAACACATTTAAAAATTAAAATATGGAATATTGTCGAGAAGTAATTTGATTTCTTTTAAAAATGTTGGAATTCTTTAAATTGTGAATCTATCTTTAAATAAGCTAGAAATGCTATGATTTTCAACCGTAACATTAATTTTGAGAATTTAATTTTTTATTTATTTTGAATTATTAATAAATTATAGTTATTTAATGCAGCGTATCTTAAATATATATGTATTCTGCTTTTTTAAAAATCATCGTATCACCGAATGTTGACAATTTTTATCCATACTACAAATGCAGGGACGATCGAATCACCAGCTAATGAAGGCTGTAATGTCCTCTTAAAATTATAAAATTATATATTTAATATATTAGAAATGGATTTTTTTAAACTCTTATTATAATAAATTTAAGTGTATAGTTTCGTTCTCCAAATCTAAGTCTTGCATCCGTTACTGCATGGAATGTTTATAAAACTACAAAGTAATTAATTAATTAATTAATTAATTAATTTTTGATGGCCAGTAAATATTTTGCTGGAAAAAACAAAATACAAAGTAGATATAGAACTTACTCGAGATGGGCAACAGCAACTCCTTGAAAAAATACCCAAGCGTTTGAAGGATCAATGTTATTGTCAACCCAATTACCCCAAGTTGTTAATGCAATTTTCAGAGCTTCCAAACGATCCATTTCTTTAACAATCTTGTCTCCTACTTGAAAATAGTCCCACCTGCATCTCATTAACACACATTAATTATTAATTTCTTATTAGAAACTAATCATGGTTTTAATTGTTGTAAGCTCATTTTTAAAATTATATTGGGATAAAGTTCCAAATACATCAATAATTGGAGGAAGTGGCAGATCTAATAAAAAATTTTCTGGGGTCAATTTATAATAAAATATAATAAAAGGGTTCAACCCTAATCTAAAATGGGGTCAATTTAGAAAAATTCGGTTTGTACTAATTCGATTCAACTTGAATTAAATTACTCGATATAATTTATAATTTAACGATTAACGAGCTCGTTCTCGTATATGGTAGGGCTTATAACATGTTCCCCATTACCGTACGTTTGATATTTTCCGGTGTGAAGCCACCAATGGTAGGTGTTGAAGATTAAAACGTCTACTCCAAGCCACTCGTCTCCGGTGCTTATTGAATCCAGCTTTAGAATTTTGCCAATCTTTTCGTAGACCAGATCTATTAGGAACCCATTTTTCAACCACATCACTGAAACCCCATATTCCTAAACAAACAGCAATAATAGTAAATCAATCTGCTTGAGTTTGGTGAAAAGGAAAATTAAAAGCGAAATGAATTTTTCAAATTTGAAAAAAAACGAAATGAATTTTTCAAATTTTTATCTTGGTTTCTCCAACTATATAAATAAATTAATTAGTCCAATATACTACATCCGTTTCATAATACTTGTCATATTTATGGTTTCAAGAAGTAATAAATATTTTTTTCTATATTTACCCTTTGTACTTTATTTTAGTAGTTTTCGTAGAAAATTAATATTAAATTATAAGTAATATAGTTAATTTACTAAATAATTTATTAATTTAATAATTTTTTTAAAAAACGTGAAATTTCCAATGTCACTGGTATTATAGAATAGAGATAGTAATATATAAAATTAGCAAGTCTGGCCTTAGATATTATGAATCCACCTTCTTTATGAATCCACCTTCTTTATGTGGTCAGTCCAGAGAGAAAGGCACTCAATTCGTTCGCTAAAATAAACTATGCCTATAATCAGTACTGAAACCAACTCAAATAGTTGGAGGCCGAAGAAATAATTTTACTAATTATAGACGGTAAAATTAAAATATATTTTTTTTCATAAATTTTTCACTCTAAAATTTTAAAACATTTTTAACTTAGGGGCACCCCTTTCCCAGATCCCCTGGGTCTGTCCGTAACCATAATAATGTGTGATGCCGACTTATACCTCATAATTTTAAAAGGGGGGGTGCAATAGTGTAGACCTGTGACCTTTTAAACAAAAGTGAAATATATAAAATATTGTTCATGTTGACATCCATAAAGCAGAGCATGTATATATATAATCTTGAAATAAAAAAATTTCAAAAAACTGAGCTAGCACTCTCATATCTCAGCATTTTTTTTTTTTTACAGATATTCTTATTTATTAATTATTTTTAACTACTTATTTTTATTTTTAATTATATTTATTTTCTCCTTATCACGGATTTACAAACTTTTAGCCCTTTTTTAGATTACTATCCATGATCTATGTTTCATTTTAAAATTTTTTATTAATAATAACTATAATTTTATCTCTTATCATTAATCCTTATCTTCAACAAAATGAAAGTTTGAACTTTAATACTCCATCTGTCCCAAAATATAAGTCGTTTTTGGTTTATTATTTTATCCCAAAATATAAGTCGATTTGTGTATTTTAAAAAATAATAAATGATATTTTTCTAATGTTATTCTTGTTTATACTAAATACAATAAATACTTCATAAGCAATTATTGATTTAGTCAAATTCTTGAGTTTGTTATAATTTAGAAGAATTAATTGTTTATTTAATTCTTGTACAAAAACTTTAAACGATTTATATTTTGGAACAAAGGGAGTAACAAATATAAATTTTAGGCTCGCCTCCATTACGACAGTGATTAACCCTTTGCTTTCTCATTTTATTTTATCTTGATTTTACATCATTTTCTCATGATTTTTCATCACTCTCTTTAATCTTTATATTCTACAGACCATGGAAGTGGTCATGGCTTATTGCTGGAAACGGTGCTTGAAAGGTTTCCTCACTCTTTTAATCATTTAGGCACAATTTGTAAATTGCATGTTTAAAACTTTTTTCATAATTTTATCCTCGTTTGCTCTAACCTTTGGATTTCAAGATTGCGAATATAGTGATGCTCTGATTATTGAAAATGCTGCTAGAGAGGCTTTAGTTGTAGTTACGCCAAACACGTGTATTTGATTTGAATTTTTCAAGATATTTTTAATAAGATTTTGCTACCTGGAGAGGATCCCAAAAGGTCTAAATAAAGCATTTACTAAATTCTTCATATATTTGTTGTTTGGAGTTATAAATAGTCATTACTTCATTATCAATAAATCAATATTTGCAATCTACACTAACTAAATTCCTGTGAGTTGTTGTCTTTTAAAGGAAGTTTAAATTCATATTCATCTAAATGAGATCGTGTGTGCTGATTTCTTATTGCAAATGGTGTGCCTGAGAAAAATAGTATTGTTGAACCTTTGGAAGCTTCACGATGTGATCTTCTTGTGGTATTTTCTACATCTATTCAGCGCTTATAACCTTTCTTTCCAAATTCTGGATGATTGTTCCAAGAATTGATCATCCAAGAGACTAAGCATGACAATCTATTCAATTTACGTATCTTGACATTAATTACCCTGCTCAATACTCTTACACTTTGGTCATAATAATTACTGATTTTTAAAGTAATTAAAATAAGTGAACATTACTAAATTAAGTGAAAATTACTATTAATGTGTAATTATAAATACAATTTTGTAATGAAAAGCTATCTAATTCATTATTCTGTTATTAGTAGAATTTTTGTAAATTTTTAATTTATTTCTTCACATGATATAATTAATTTTTAAAAAAATAAAAATAACAATTTATATCATACAATTTATAAATTTTTATTGTAATTGTTTTTACTAGTATTCAAAAAGGTTAAATATTAAAATTGAAATGTTTGTGTCGAATTGTGTGAAATATTTGGTTTCGTTATTTCTTGATATATTAAAAATATTTAAGGAGGTGATTTAAACATTATTAAAATTGAAATGTTTGTGCTGAATTGTGTGAAATTTTTAGTTTCATTATTTCTTGATATATTAAAAATGTTTAAGGAGGTCATTTAAGCATTCTATACTTTAAACTATTAGATATGATATTAGAAATTTGTTTCCTCATATTAAGTGTTACAAAATCAAAATTAATAAGTTTAGATATTATATTAATAAGTGATTTTCTTTTTTTTTTTTTTTACGTTAAGGGGATTGAATAGTATCTTTTAAACTATTATCTTACGAATTTATCAATAAAATTAAATTTTTGATAAATGAACTCATAATTCATTTATTTATCCAAAATTTAATTACATGTATAAATTATAAAAACAACTCACACAAAGCGTGGGCTTTTATCTAGTTATTAAGGAATAGCATATAAATATAGGCCTAAGATAAACCTTTCAGTTTCTTCGCTAGAACCAAAATATGTGCATATATTAATAAGGGTTAATCTCACAACTTTCTAAGATTAGGATGCAACAATATAGACATGTGACTATTTGACTATTTTATACTCTCCTAATAAAAATAGTCAGTCATAATTCGTGTTTCATGCATAAATTAGTGCACACTTCTTACAAACAGGATACAAAGTTAGTCAACAGAATATTACAATTAAATTTGTTTGAAAAAATTTAAATTTGAGCCTAGAATAAACATGTCATATGAACATAAAAACTTTTTTATAAGTAGGGTGCAACAATTGAAATGTGTGGTCATATTAATATAGCCAATGTATGTATTCTTATTCATATTCAAATCCGTAAAGTCAAGCATATTTCTAACAAACCACTTATAAATGTAACTGTTATTCATACTTTGGAAATAGAAAATTATTAATTGCCCACACCACCTTTTTTTTAACATTATACTCGTTAGTGCTGTCAAAACTGGCTGTCCGCCCGGCCCCTACACGCTTGATTCCAAAACGGCCGGGCCAAAAAAAGCTTGTTAAAAACCGGCCTCTAATATTGAAAGTTAATTTTTTTTTCTTAATTTTGCTACTTTTTTTTGAATTTTTATTGGTTTTGTATGTCCATTCAAAGAGTAGGTGGAAAAAAGAGGAAAAAATATCCAAGAATTGAACCTAAGACCATTAAAAGATTAGCAAACATGGTTTCCATTAAACTTATTCCCCTTTTTATTTTAAAAATTTATAATATGTATATATATATTACTTTAATGCAAGCCCCGCGGACCTGTTCGGCTGACCTGTGCGGGCTTTGGTAAAAAACGGGTCGGGTAAAAAAACCGTATTAAAAATAGGGCTAAATTTTTTTGTCTATATCTAAATAAATACGGGTGATCACAAGTTGTCCGCGGCTTAAGCCCATTTTGACAGTATTAATACTCGTTAATTGAGTAAAAAAAAAAAAAGCAGATAATAGAGGTTATTTAAGGATATTTTAGACTTTTTATTTTGATCCTTTCGAAAATTTTAAATTAGAGTAAAATTCTCCATCAAAATATATGGAAATGGAAACTTTGTCTAAAGTAACAGGGAGTAGTTAACTTGAATTAGATGACTTTTTAATTTGAGTTAATTTTTTTGAACAGATTATTATTTTTTTTATTTATGAATTCTCCTGTCTCTGTGTATGGTATATTTTAAATTAGCTTAAAAATAAATAAATATAATATAATGTGTAAAAGCTGAGTCGTGTTAGAAATAAAGCAATAAGACGAGTCTTACCGGCAATGTAAATGTTGACAGCTTTCCTTTTTCTTGGATGGTATAATTAGAATTTGGGACAGCTACGTGGAGAAGGCATGAGAGGGACACCCACATATTGTTACTTAGAGAATCTCCAACAAACATTATCTTTTTCCCTTTATATTTCTCCACCAAATCCACCCCGTTAAACCTATACAATGTGAATAATCATAAAATAGATAAGACTAAATTAAAATAAGAATAAATTAATTTTTTTAAATATAAAATTGAATCAAATAGAATTAAATTAATAGATTTAATTTGATTTGATTCAGTGCGTTTCAATTTCAATTACAGTAGCACTTTAGTTTTAAATTGTATCCAATTTAATAAATAACATATTATTTTTGTCAAATCCAATTTATTCTTTTTCCCTTAAATTAAAATCCTTCTCCACCACCACTACTTATAAATAAATAAATAATTATATTTATTTATATAAATTAAAATAAAAATAATCTATTCATCTTAAAAATAAAATGCATTTATTTATATCTAATATTGACAACAAATAATTATTATTCCCTGAAAAATAAAATGACACTGTAATAAATAAAGCTTATTTTTATAAGAGATCTAACTTATAAAAAAAAATTCATATTTAAAAAATTCAAAATAAAAATCTAAATTAATATTTTATGCTTATAATTTGACTAAAATTTATTATTTTATTTGATTTTTATGAATTTAAATCTCTAACCAGTATCAATTAGGGTATTGTTGAACAATATAATATGAAATTTATGATATTAGAAGAAGAAAGTTAAATTGAGTGACAATTAAAATTATGCGCAAAGTTTCAGATTTTTTTAAATGATTTATTTGAAAAAAACATGATTATAGACCGAAATCTTGGAATTAAAAATTTCGTTGGAAGAAGTTGTGATTAATAATGACAGCTATTCACATACAAATTCAATGCAGTGCAAGTGAAAGTCAACTCTGCTCAGATTCTGTCCTTTCTATATGAAAATTGTTCAGAAATTTGAAATAAAACTAGTCGTTAAGTGTGTTTTATTAGTATTTTTTTTTTTTTTTTAAAGAATCGAGAGAGATTCAGACATGTAAAATATGGTTTGAAAAAGGGGTCAGCATTTGGCTTGACCATACCAAATCAAACCAGCTCGATTTGATCTGACTGAAGATGATCATAAATAAACTCAGAACCAAATTGTATTAAAATCAACTTATTTTACAAAACTTATTTGGTTTAATTATTTTTAACCATTTTATTTATTTTGAAAGTTGAAATAAAATCGGTTGGATATATAAATAAAATTGAATATAAAAATAAATTAATTTTCACCGAAAAAACTGAATTATGAGTAAATTTTTTAAAATGTCAAACCAAGATCAATTCGATTTGATTTTTAATTATAAAAGATGATTATTACTCACCCCTAGTTTTGTACACTACATGTATAGTTTTGCTTGTTAACGAATTGAAAATCAAATTCATCTTTAATTTGTTTTTCAATTTTAATTGCTTTGATTCTTGTATTAAAACATTAATTTTTTAATTTCAAAAATAATTAATATTATAATAAATTCTAAGTAAATTATTTAAAGTCTGGTTTCCACCGCTGAAGACGATAATTTAAGCTTTTTTGTATTTTTTTTTTTTTACCTTTCCCTATCGTAAGCTCTGTATGTGCCCCAAAATCATTGTAACCATTGCCTCTACTCCACTACCAGAGGCTGGTCCCCAGAAATTGGTCCAGCAACCAGAGGAGTGAAAAAGACTCTAAAATTAGCAACTATGTGATAATTGCAATTAAACTGTAAATGAATAACAATTAAGAAGGAAGGAGAAGAAGAAGAAGAAGAAGACCTGGGAATGTCACATGCAGTAGGCTGCCATCGAAATTTAAGGTAAAGCTGGTCAGGTCTACCGTTCTTCTGGCAGTCAAATCCTTGTCCGATGAAGGGACAACTTGAGGAATTATAGAGTGGGTATGATTCGTCATAAACCCAACTTCCTTCAAAATAATCACACTCATTGGAGCTTTCCATATGCTTATAATAATGGCTTTCATGATTATCAGCAAGAGCTTCAAACAGGAGATTAGAGCTCATTAGATGGAGAGAGATCCAAAGTTGCCAGCCGAGATGGCCATTTGAGTTTGAATATGGAGCCATAAAGCAAGAAAAAGAGGAGTGGTTTATTTATCCTCACAAGGCGAGTATGAAGAGGGACTTCATTTTTTCCGAAGGACCATATTTATACAAAACTTGGCAGTACTTTACGCTTCTTCGCACGGCCGTATAATAATTATTAGTCGAAAAATGGCCCTTCATGCGTAGGTATTTTAATAATTGTTATAATTTTTTATATTATTATTTTTAATAATTATTGTAAATTATCAAATTATTAAAAAAAAATGAACACCCTATTTAAAATAATTCAATAATGGGTAATATCAAAATGATTTGTATTAAAGAAAATTATGGCATTGTTTGTAATAACATAACATCATAAATCCATTCCTAGATTTCTAAGCATTGTCTCATTAGGTTGGCTGGATGAGGATGCACAAAAGCATCTCATACCGATTAAATTTTCAGAAGAAAGAATAATAGTTAACCCTCAACTCATTCTTTGAGAAAGAATATCAATTAAATATGTAATCTAATAATTTAAAATTTAAGACAGCTTGATTTTAAACAAAATCATAAAATGCGATGTAATTTTTAAAAAAAATAATAATAGTTAACCTTTAAGCAAAATAATAGAATTAAATTAAGTTTTATTGATTTCTCATATATTATCACCCTAGAAAATTGCAGAATTTTTTTCTATGACATAATTTAAGGATATGAAGAGCTACCTTACCAATAAATATATAAATGTAATATCGTAAAATAAAAGGAAAAAATGTATTGAAATCCATAATTAGAAAATCTAAAAGTATATTGTAATTTGAAACACTACGGAGGGGTAATCCCGTAACTTGAGTTTCCTCTACTGTATAAAACTTATCCCGAATCATACACAGAAAGAATGAGTGATACAAATTCAGTGAGATCGTATAGCTCCACAACCCCTCTTCTAGTACCAACCACAAGGATTTGTCATCTGAAGCCACAGAAGCACACACAACATCACCAGAACTTAAATTTCTTTTCAGCTCTGATAGATTCAGCTTGCTTTAAACCTTTCTGATAAATCCAATTGTTTAATATCATTAGAAATATTTCTGCTAGTTTACGTTAAAGACAGCAAGCAAACTATACCAATAACCCAAAATCCCATAGAACTGTTTAAAAAATTGACACTTAAATTGAGATTTTGACTATTGCTGTTATTGAACAACCAGCCAAGGATGATGGAATTGGAGTCGCTACTAGAAATCGAACCACAAGAATGTGTAATTGACACATTGGAAGAATAGGAGAATGTGGCAAATCCGCCAAAGGGCAAGTGAAATTTTAGTAAAATTTATTTGTTTAATAGGTTGTTTAATAGGTTTTTCATGTCAATTAAGTTCAAAAGAGTTACATTTTGAATAATCAAAAAAATAAAAAAATAAAAATAAAAATAAAGAGAAACAGAAGGCATTTATTGAAGGGCCTCTAATTTTCATATTCAACAGAGCAAATTCAAGTTCACTCTAATGAAGATAAAGGAGTGAAAATTAAAAAAAAAAAAAAATTGGTAAGAAAATGCTAAAAAATATCTTTCTAATGATATTATGGCTAGATGCAAGACCTAGGCCCTGAACAAAGGTCATCAACTAAAGAATTTGGTAACGTAGAGCCTTGCTCTATTTTCCAAACTCAGATCACGTCTTAATTCCCAAGCAATGTGTCTTTAAACATAACTAAAGCGAAAATTCCAAAATAATAATAATAATAATAATAATTTTTTTTTAAAAAAAAATTCAGGAAAATAGGCTAAACCTAAAAATAATCAAATAAATAATATACAACAATTGTTGAGGGATGAACACAGCCAAAGCTTCTTCAATATCATTCCTGACAGTCATAAAAAAGGATGCAAATTCTTGATAAAAGAGATGAAGAACGCAAAGGAAAATGACGAGAACAAAGAAAAGGAAAGCAAACCGTGAAGGATAAAAGAACAACTGAAGGAGGAGGCTCATGAGTGTTTAGAAATTATACACAATATGTCTTTAAATCACCTAAATATACCTAAATATTAGATATAGTTAGATTTTAGGTTTATTCAAAAATTAAGATAGTTATATTGGATAATTAGATTAGATTAGCTTTCATTAAAATACATTAAATATTACATTGGAAAAGATTAATTAAATTAGTCAATCAAAACACGGAAAAATAAAAAAAAAATTAAATTTAAAAAAAAAAGAAAGATAGAATGCTGAATGGAGAGAACACCTTAATTAATAAACTTTTAATTGAATAAATATCAATATAACAAAATCATTTGATAGAAATTAATTAGTATGCGATATTACTTTATAAAATTTTAAAAAATTGGCTAGATTTGATAAAAACGTTAAAGTTTAGGTTTTTTTTGAGTATATGTGAATATATGTGTCACGACCCAAAACTATGGGCTGGACCGGTACTAGGATCCAGATAAGCATAAGGCCTCGAGGTCCGTAGTAAGCCTGAACCACAGAAATTCAACCATAACAATATGAATTTCAAACAGTCAGCCCATATCGCCATACATAATAAATCTCATAATTATATTATACTTTGGCCCAAATCTATTGTAATATCCTCAATTTTGTAGTTCTTTCTATTTTAGGAATCAGCTAAAAAAGATTTAACCATATATAGGTTTAGATAATCATGGTATGATTATTTAGGGTTTTTATTTATAGAAATTTGAAGTATATGTTACACTTTGGAAATATTTAGACTTGAGATTAGTCGGTTTCATATAATATGACATTAAATATTGCAAACATTTGGAGCTAATAGATATCCTGAGATTAGTCTGCTCAACTCAGACACCACAGCGGGGAAAATAAAAAACAAAACTTAAAATGTTTAAGAAAAAAAAGAAAGATAGAAAGCTGATCGGAGAGAACACCTTAATTAATAAACTTTTAATTGAATAAATATCAATATAACAAGAATCATTGATAGAACTTATGAATAGCTATCGATATTACTTTAATATAAATTTAAAAAAATGGGCTAGATTGATAAAAAGCGTGTACATTGTTTAGGTCTTTTTTTGAGTATATGTTTAATATCTGTGTCACGGACCCAAAACTATGGGCTGGACCGTGTACTAGGAATCCAGTATAGCAACGGCTCGAGTCCGTAGTAAGCCTGAAACCACAAGAATATTCACCGATAACAATAGTGAATTTCAAAGCACGTCAAGCCAATTCGCCATACATATAATACCAGTCTCTATAATTATATATTAACTTGGCCCAAATTCCTATGTAAATCCTCAACTGTTTGTAGGTTTCTTTCTTATTTAGCTTTTCGATGAATTCGGTTATCCGAGATAAAAGTAAAACTAAAATATTGGAAACACTATAGATGAGGATATTAAATATTATTAAAGTGAAAAAATTAATTGATCCTTTACAAATCCATGTGAAAGCTGAAAGGAAATCACCAACATGAATTGAAAGATGAATGACTCTCAGTAAAGCAACGATTTGATAATGGTTCTCATTTTCAAGCGGATGTTGGTCAGTTGCTTTATAGGTACAAGGTTGAGCATCACCACTCTTCTCCTTATCGCCCTCAGGCTAATGGTTCAGTAGAAGCTGCGAATAAGGAGATTAAAAGAATACTGTCGAAGATGTGTGAAAGGTACAAAAGTTGGGCCGAGAAACTTCCTTTCACGCTCTGGGGACCTCGCACTACCTTCAAATCAGTGAATGGAGCTTCTCCTTTTGAACTTGAATATGGAATGGAGGCAGTGTTACTGATAGAGCTCGAAAAGAAGTCTCTCAGAGTTTTTGTGGAAGCTGGTCTGATCGAGGAAGAATGGGTCAAGAAAAGGTATGAAGATTTGGTGCTTTTAGATGGAACAAGATTGAATGCTCGATTCCTCCTTCATTTCTATGGATTACTTTTTGAATTCCATGAACTTTGAAGTGAGGTGCTTGTTTGTGTAATCTGATTTGGTGAAGATGAAGTGATGAGTGAGTGAGAAGGTGATTTAAAGGTGATTTAAGATGATTGAAAGTTAAGTTATGCATGATTCAAAGTCTAAGTTGTCATAAGATCACCAGATGGATGATTTTGAGTTGGTTTTGATATCTATGAACTATGGAACTCTGCGCTATTCTGCTATATCTTATATTATGATGTTATTTCAGTAATAGAAGAGTTGGATTGCATGAATTTGTGCTGGAAGTGAGTTGAGAATACTTAAATAAACTTACCATTGTTGGACATGTTACAGTTATGCTGCCTGACATTCAGCTTCTGTAAAATAACACGCTCTCTGTATATTATCACAGAAAACCATGCATCGTATTAGAATATTGTATGATGTAGATATCCAACAATTAACAGGCATAGGTCGTGTTAAAATTTAAAGGCCATTGGATAAAAGCAAATGGAGTTATAAGTAAATCAATGCAGGCTGCTCAGCATGAGAAAAACTGAACTTCAGATTATATAATTATGTCATTTAAAAATGAAAATGAGCTTTAAAAATTATGAAATTTTCCAGAACAGTACCCTAAGATGTTGGGAACATGCTGTCAAAATTCAGGGCAATTGAATAAGGGAAATTCAAGATATAGTCAACGCAATACCAGCTACTCAAATGCTGAAATTCTGCATGTCATAAACCTTGAACGAATTTAGCATGCTATTCACTTCTATTGTTGCATTGCCACTTCTATTGTTTCATGATTTGTGTCTAGGATGTGGTGTAAGTGGTTTGGATATGAAGTGTTCATGCTTAAACTCAGATCATATAACATCTGGACAAGTATAGGTGGAAAAAATGAAGAGAAAAAGCTAATGAAAGACTAACATTCCTAATGCTTAATTTACATTCTTATAGAAGTGCATGTGGTGTACATTGTGTAGTATGACTTAATTTGAGTATTTAATATCATGCTGACAGGCTGCTGAGAGAAAAGGGACTTGAGGAGAGGGTGATTACTAAGAGGAAAGGGCTTAGGGAGCATCTAGTTCAGGTTAGTGTATATTATTCCTTTCACTTTTTATTTAAACAAAATGAAATTGATTTCTGCACAAATATTTCAATGGATTTGCTTTTA